GGAATTAGTCACTATTTATGTATAAAAAATTTACTGAATACGTTAGTGAATTGAAATAATTTTAAGAAAAACTATACATTCATAAAATTACCTAGTTAGTATTTTTTAATAAACGTAAGTGTTTTCTAAACATAAGGTTACTAATTTAGCGCAGTAATAAGCACCTAAAATCAGTTTCCAGTCCATACTAGCCTAATTATTTTTTTACATACATTAGGTAGGTATATAATTTTTCATTCACTTGTAAATGCTGCTGGGTCTTTCTTATCTTATAGCCTTTTCAAACCATATTTTACTGGTTTTAAATTGTCTTCAGCACTTCATTTTTCAACTTATCGTGTGAGTAGACGCAGCCTCAATGTATTACTATTGAGAACAGTAATATTATGCAACTTCTTAAGAAAATTAAAAGTTATCCACCATCCTTGAGCCATTGAAAACAAAATATAAGGAATTTACTAACAGGAAATATCTCTGTACTGGGTTTTTGCAGTAAAAATAATTACTACAGCGGTTAACAACTAATGAAGCAATGAGTCATTAGAGTTTACTCTTGCTCTTTTCTTATTTCTTACTCGCATTAATAATCACGTAAGGCTAAGCTATTAAATTAATTTGAATGTTATTGAGAGTCCATAGAAATTACTACAGTTATTCAAAATGATTATTTATAATGTGAGTCGTTAAAAATTAATACGAGAATTGAAATTATAGTTCAGTAATGCAGCAATTACATAAGAATGCAATTGGATCCTAGTCGGCTGAAAAAAAAATAGTTGGTCATACATTTTCTCCATTGTATTGAGAAATATGATAAAGGTAAAAAATTATTAACCAATTGTACTTTTTTGTCAATCCACTAGGATCCAATTGCATTCTTGTTACGGACCTATAAATCTAGCTTCACTCAAAACAATTCTCTGAGTCTCATTACAATTGGACAATAATTATGCAAGTGTCAGTAAAATTTAAAATCAATAAGTCTGAGTCATTAAAGTTTCAAGTGAATTTTAAAATCAGTAACAGCATCATATTCAAAATGTCAATATAATTTAACAGCAATTCTCTGAGTACAATTGGATCATGTTTCTATCATACGGAATAATCTTCATTAAGGAATGTAGATGGCACCAAAGAAAAATATTTAACATTATATAAAGCAATTTACAGAAATATTTATCCAAATTCAAATAAACCATGAAATACTAAATTAAATCTATTTCCCTAATTATTTAATTTCGGATAAATATTTCTGTAAAATGTTTGCTTTATATAATGTAAAATATATTTCTCTAGATCTTTTACTTTTCAGTTTTTGAAAATTCGTTGTATATTCTAAAATTCTTGCAAAAAACTGAAATTTTTTACATAATCAAGTAGTCTATGGAAAGCCTCGCCTTAACAGACGTTGTTTCTTCTAACTGACACAAGACGATTTTTAATATTGTTGCTTAGAAAATTATAACACTAGCACATATACAGTTCATTTAGTATAGTATAGTTTATTTGTAAGACAATACAATTATATACAAATAAGTACAACAACCTCACATAAGGTTACCCTTGTGCGTGAGTACGTTACAACATTTAAAATTGGTATCACCTAAACTTTCATAATGGCCGTTGTTTCCATTACCATTACTTGTAGTTGTAGTCCCAGGACCAAAATGATTATTGATATAAAACGATCTCGGGGAATCTTTAAATACTGCCATTACTTTAGTTTTTATATTTTACATAGAGAAAAAAAAATACTTGAAAATTTGATGTGTGTCATCTTGACACACAAAATTTATGAATTTGAGAACTCGAGAAATTGAGAATTTGACAAGGTTAGGATTTGGGAATTTGAAGATTTGGAGAACCTGTAAAGTTAAGAATGTAAGAATTGTAGAATTTAAGTTTTTGGGAAAAAGTGAATCTCAACCTAAAATTCCTTAGAAATATCACTTGTAATCAAAATTTTCAGAAGGATAATCATATAACATCAACGATATAACATAACAGCAAATGTTTATAGCAGCATCTTTATTCTAATACCTACCATTAACAATATGGCAGTGAAATTTAAGTTCACTTAATTGTTTACTAGTTAATCAATTTCATTGTTTAAAAGAAACACAACAGTATGCTATATTGTATAGAAATATTATAAAAATAAAGAACACAAACTTAGGAACTCTTGATATCACATGTTACAGTCTAAAAAAATGCATACAAAAAACAGTAAAGTTTTTACACATATACTACTAAATATTGCTTTACATTCAGCAACATACAGGGTGTCAATCGAGGCACCCTTAAACTTTTATTTATTTCCAATTCTATAAAAATTTACTAATAATAATAATAATAATAACAGTCTTTATTAATATAAACTACAACATAAGTATATTTTATAATAGAAATGAAAGTTAATGTAAGAGACATACTCATGGTCATCATTATGACCGCCTGAGGGGTTGTTGCCTTATTCATTTTATGAAAAAGAAATTAAAAAAAAGAAAAAGAAGCACAACTCTTATAAACGTGAAATTAGAAGTTAAATTCCTGAACAAAAGAATATCTGTACTTCCATGCAAATGTACAATAAGTTGCGAGTGCTATCCAGTCTTTACCGTTTAAATACTCTTTGAACTCAACAAGTGTCAGCACATTTTTATGTAGGTATTTTTTACGAATTGTTTTCAATATTGGACAAACCCCAACAAAGTGAAATATGTCTTCATCTTCCTGAAAATTACATAATGAGCATAATTTTATTTGTTCGTAATTGTATTTATTTAGATATATCAATTCCCCCCTGACTTTAAAAATCCAGCTAATATAATTGCCAACAAGATTAGAGTAAACATATTTGTTAAGTTGATCCAGTTCTTTGTATAGGGGATGTCTGATACTATTAACCGCTTTTAGTCTATATTGTTCTTTAACATCGTCTTTCAGCGCACTTAATATTACACTTGCCTCCATACTCCCACTTATAAGATCATTGGTGTTGAAGCCATATTTAACACATAGGATGTTCCAATCAGCGTACCAAAATAATTTCATTTTAATGATCTCCTTCGCCAGAATGTTGGGATAACGCGTACCTGGTAATTTTAGGCATCTTCTAATATAGTTGAAATGAAGATGGAGCGTGTACAAATACGTGGGGTAAAGATCGGTTTCCAAATAAATCATGTAGTCTGGCGTATTCCTAGGTAGCCTCAGGCATTTCTTTACGAAGAATTTAAGCGGTATCTCTACTGTTCTATGATTGAGGAAGCCCCATACCTGTGATGCGTAGCACACAATTGACCGACATGCAGCATTGAAGATGTCCAATTTTGATTGAAGAGGAATTTTGTTGTCCAAAATTAATTGGTTAAACGAATTTATAGCAAATTTTACACTTTCTACTTTCTCTTTAAAGTGATCTTCCAAAGACAATTTTGAGGTAAGCGTAATTCCCAGATACTTATAACTGTTGACCACCTGTATTTGTTCGGATTTATAAAACCATTTGTCCTCTTCGCTTCGTCGCCCGCCGTTCCGGAACACCACAATTTTTGATTTCGAAAGGTTTATTTTCAGATTCCACATGTTGCAATATCTATCTAGTTCATTGATCATTTTCTGTAAGTTATACTTGTCCGATGCCAAAAGTACCAGATCGTCTGCATACGCTAGTAGTTTGATTGTGGTGGAATTTATTCTGATACCCCCATTCAAATAATCATCAATATCGTTTATGAACAGTGAAAAAAGTAAGGGACTCAATAAACACCCCTGTTTTACACCCATAGCTGTTTCAAAAGCCTTGGTTAAACCTCCCTGACACCAGACTGACGCTGAAGTATTTCTGTACATATTTCTAATAACCGTGATTATTTTACTGGACATGCCCAGATTCATGAGCTTGTAAAATAATGCGAATCTGTCTATCCTATCGAAAGCAGCAGATATGTCAACGAAAAAAGCAAACACTTTTTGCCTTTTCCTGCTTAAATGGATCTTGATTATACTCATCAAAGTAAAGATGTTGTCAATCGTAGAGTAAGATTTCCTAAATCCCGCTTGGAATTCTTTTAGTATGCTTTCCCGATTCGTCCACGACGTAATTCTGTCCAGCAATAAACCAGCAAATAATTTACTCCCTGTGTTTCCGAATGAGATTCCCCTATAGTTATTTGGATCATTCTTCGCTCCTTTTTTGTGAATTGGGAATATGATCGATTCTTTAAAGTTGTTCGGTATGATTCCAGATACATAAATTTCATTAAAACATTTAAGTAAAGTTTCTAAAAACGTCACTGAACTATTTTTGTAGAACTCATATGGGATTCTATCTTTTCCTGGAGCTTTATTGTCTTTGGCTCTTTTCAACACCGCTAATAGCTCATTCATTTGGAAAGGTGCATCCAATAAAACGTTCTTAATGAGCGGCTCGGCGTGGGCTATTCGTCTTGCAGTTAAGGATGGGTTTAGTCAGTTTTTAAAGTGGGTATTCCATTCCGCCGCGTTAATATCCTTGTGAAAGTTATACCTTGTGTTCTTGAACTGGCGCACTAAGCCCCAAAAATCTTTCGCATCCCTTACCCGACTAAATTTTGCAATTGCATCTTCATAAAAACTTTTTTTCTTTGAACTACATAAGTTTTTGTACTTATTTCTAGTTTTGTGGTAATAATCCTTAATAGTGGCTGAATTCGTTCTTCTAAAAATATGCAGCAAATTATATAGGTTCTGACGTGTTATTTTACATTCTTTATCATACCACTTTTGTTTATAAACGTACGTTTGGTTTTTGTATGTCATGTCAAATTTACGTGCTGTGTCAACTATCACTTTTGTTAATTGTTCCGCAAATTTACTGTATATTTAGGATTTAAAGAAAAAGGTAAAGTAATTTCTATTCCAAATAAAATACAACTCGTAATGAAATTCAAATGAAATTATAGGACTTCTGCAAACATAGAAATAATGGGGAGGATTCACGAAGAACTTGATACAGATTATGCAAATGCGAAATCGTTGCAATTACCGATGCCAAATACAACATGGTGAAGAAAAGTTTCATAAGTATTATGCGCGGTAGGTAAATCTAATTGCAACCCACATGTGTTCTCTTTAGGATATAAACTCTGGTCGTGTAAAAATGAAATTATTGGCTGATGATTAAATCCTAATGGAGGCACTGTCTCTGCACCAGTTACAAATATCAATATAGTTTTAAGAGTAATATCTGTCACATTGTCTGAAACAAAATTAATCTCTTTTAGAAATCCATGAAATTCACATTTCTTACAAACCTTCACAGTCCAGTAAAAAGTCTCTCCAGAAAGTAATAGTTCGATTTTCTGCAGACCGCTTTGTACTGCCGATTTCACTGTAATTTATTGTGAAGAGATTGTCGAATAGGTTAACTGTTAGCAACTCTTCACAGCACATTGCCTCCTTGAATATAGTTGGATGGCTCTTGATAAGTTCAAAAATCATACCGGACTGGAGGCCTTCCCTGAATTGCTCTAGTGCTGGACAAATTTTATGATATGCATAGAAATTAGTAACGGCTATAAAAAACCATTATTACTTTTTTATTACTTATTATCGTATAATCATTAATTTACTGACCTTCAAGTAATTGATTCCTATGTTCTATGTCCTTTACTATAACCATTGATTAACATATAACGAGGAAGATAGACAACCACGCGGCACAATTTGCGCCGATTGCATGTTCTACTCGTTAGGATAGTTTGCATCGTCCATCTGCAGCATGGTACATGAACTAAAACGCAATTATCTCATACTTCCTCGCAGATTTCTACGTACCTAATAGCACTTTTAAAATCCAGGTCCGTAGTAGAAATTTATAAGCATACATAATAACCGATCAGCTCAAGTTTAAGTATTTAATTATAAGATAGTCTGCAGTCATAGATAAAAGACATAGGTATCACATATCTGTGCCGCAGTGAAATAATTGCGCAAATTCAAACGTCAGCATTTAATTTCATGTGTAAGATAAACAACGTCGTGCAAGACGCCGTGCATCAAAGATGCCGACTCTTCACCGCACACATTTATTGTTTCATTATGCAGAATTTTGCAAAATCAGCTGTCCCCTGATTTATCTTACGTGTTAAGCGAGGTACGAGAATAAACACGAAATCGTATTGTAATTGAAATGTAATGTCTAAACTCTAAAGGTTTTGTAGTACCCGTACCCTGTACCCGGAGCCTATACATGCGTTTAATGTGCCTAAATCGTGTTTGTAAAAACTAGTAAAATAATAATCATTATTGCAGTATCAACTATAAAACTATTAGCGGATAAATTTGTATGTGCGGATAGTGAAAAAAGTGTGTAGGTATTACATCTTTTGTTAGCCCATCGTATAAATTTAGACCAAGATCGCGTACGGTATACTCTTTGGATATTTGATTACTACCTATGCATGCGATTATGATAAATTGAAATGTAAAGTAAAAGTGTAAGTTTATTAAGTTGTTTATAACGATATCCGTATGCCGAGTTTATAAAAAGGAAGTTCGCAAAAAGCAAATCCGGCGGAAAATCTTCGGTATACCTGTAGTGCGATCACTAAAATAAAAGAAAATATTAAATTTGCAATGATATTGTACCGTATATTTTGATAATTTATTACATAAAATACTCGAATACCAATCGGCTAGGACTAAGTACAATGTGATCAAAAATGCCTGACCAAAAAAAATCGATTTTTAAGATACATGTTTCTAATATCTACTACCACGTATGTCATATATTATAATAAATACATATATCAGTATATTTTATAAAATATTTAAACCGCGTTTAAGAATGTCAAAAGTAGTAGTAGATATTGGCAATATGTACCCTAATAATCGATTTTTTCCGGTCACGCATTTTTTAATCACATTGTATATTATAACTTTAAAAATATATGTAAATAAATTATGTAATATATTACATAATCGCGCACGGTTTGAAAATGACTTAAAACTAAATTTACATCTTGTAAAGACTATTTACAAAAATGCATAAGGTTCTCGTGGGTAGTAATGTCAAAAAGTAATATTGAAAATAAGAACTCTTTTTTAATCGCGTACTGTACGTAGCAATATTCATGTATGGGTTTTAATAGCTATTTATTATACAAGGGGGAAAAGTAGTAGATTTTAGCGCGAGCGCGATGTTTGATTCCCGACGCGAAGCGGAGGGAAGCAATCGCGAGAGCGCTAAAATCTAATTTTCCACCGTGTATAATACACTATTTTTTTCTATACGCTTATCATGTAAGTATTAATTTCAAAAACTGAAACATGACATAACCTCTTGAGTATTTGATTTGACATTGAATAATTGTCAAATTGCATGTTTTTCAAAAAAGCGTACGGTTATAGAAAAAAACTAATCTTATAAATCAGAATGAAAGTTGTAATATTCCGAAGCCGTTAAAAAAATAAATGTAATTAATAAATATTCCATTGTATATAAATAAACATTTTTACAGTTTTTAAATAATTTTTTGTTCATTTTTTACACATCATTATACACTTCGAGCGGAAAATCTTACTTTTGGTCTTATAACGTAAATAAATATTTTAGTTATAAATACGATATTAAATAAGTTCCAAACTTAATACAAATTTGTATTGTATAGCAAAAGCTAAATAACATCTGATCGGTGCGATATCTTTTTTAAAAACCATTTTAATTTACCATTATTAAATGAAAAACCAATACGGCATACAGTACGCAATCATGGTCTATATTTATACGCTGGGCTGACGGCCTATGCGTGGATTTGGTGTTTATAGAAGTATACCAAGTTGAACTTTTAGTTTACCTTTGTTTAAATAATTGCGTTATGTTTAAATCTTTAGCGTAAACAATAATGGCAAGTGAAAGATTTAGTGTCACAAGTGCAAGTCACTGTTGTGTATATGTGAACTGTAAAAATTCAAGGAAAAATTCTCCACAGTTAAGTTTTTTTAAATTTCCTGTGAAAGATGCTTCTCGATGTCAACTCAATGGATTATAAATTGTGGTAATGTGTTATTGCTTGACATGGATGATGACGCTCTTAAAAACAAAATATTGTGTGAAAATCATTTTCTGGCATCCTGCATTCGAAGTGGTGGGGGTAAAAAACATTTACATATCTTTGCTGTGCCCCTTAAATATGACGTTAAGACAGGAGATATTGTTTTAAATGGTAAGGAATATTTTTCTTTTCTCTCAAACAGTAATCTATAACAAACCATAGGTAACGAGCTCGAAATTGATGGGTTAATCGAAGACGTTTCAAACCTTGTAGTTAAAAAATCTATCAGTGATAAAACGTACGCTGCCGCTAGTTCAAACAATTTACATTTTACGGGACAAGATTTACTAGAAACTCGTCATAATGATTCTGTTCACCTTTCTAGTTCGACTATTCTCGATGACATCATAGGTATGCCCATTGTCCAACACGTAAATCAAAATCAAGAGCAAAATTTACTTGGTTTAAAACAAAAAATTCGAAAATTAAGTAGTGCTTTGAAAAATACGAAACTAACAAATACCCGACTTCGAAAGAGGCTCTCATTTTCTATTAGTAACTCCCAATCTCAATTAAAAAACAAATCTACCGAAGTACAGACGTTTGTACAAATGCAATTATATCACCGTAAAAGGACCAGTTGGACCCCATCAGAAAAACGTTTAGCTTTATCGTTTTACTACAAATCGCCCAGTAACTATAAATTTATGCTCGATTTGGGTTTTGTATTGCCAAGTGTATCCACGATAAGAACTTGGTTAAAAGTTAACAATTTAAAGACTGGAGAAAATAACAATCTAATTGAGAAACTAAACGCCAAAGTAAAGCAAATGACGAACACGGAAAAACAATGCGTGGTTTTATATGATGAAATTGCTTTAAAAAAAGGATTAAATTACAACCACTATCACGATTTTATTGAAGGTTTTCAAGATTATGGTGATTTGGGAAGAAGAGAAGTATTAGCTAATCAAGCGTTGTTATTTTTTGTGAGGGGGTTATTTTGTAATTGGAAGATGCCTTTTTCTTATTACGTATCGTCAGGTCCAGTTAAGGGAGAAGTAATAAGTACTTTGTTGCAGAAAGTTTTGCAAAAATTGCAAGATATTGGATTGGTTCCAAGGATGGTCGTTTGTGACCAAGGAAGCAACAACCGAAAAGCGCTGGCATCCCTGGGAGCTTCAAAAGATAACGTTAAAATTTTTATAAATGGAATGGAGATATATACATGTTTTGATACACCCCATTTAATTAAAAGCTTGAGGAACAATTTTATGAATACAAAATTAAAAATTGTCGTAGACGGTAATGAAGTATCTTGGCACGATTTTGTCGATACTTATAAAATCGATCATAAAAGCAATGTAACGAGAGCAATGCTAAAAATTACAGATACGCACGTAAATCCAACAACCTTTCAAAAAATGAAAGTGAAGTATGCCGTGCAGGTGTTTAGCCACTCGGTAGCAGCTGCAATTGCAACATGTGCCGAAACTGGAGAGGTTCGATCAAGAACTGCAAAGAATACGGCTTCATTTTTAAAATACATCAACGACACATTTGACTGCTTGAATAGTCGGGTTGTTAAAGCAGCAAATCCGTATAATTGCGGATTATCAACTTACAACACCTTCACAACAACAAGGTTAGCCGAAGCATTGCAGTACTTCCAAAAAATTGAAATTTTTGAAAACGGGCGGGCGAGAAACAACATTTACTGTATAGAAGGGTTTCAGTGGACCATTAGAGCAATTCTGGGTTTGTGGGACTCCCTTGTAAAAGACGACTACAAATACATGCTGACGTCACGAATCAATCAAGATCCATTAGAAAACTTTTTTTCAGTGATAAGAAATAGAAATGGCTACAATGCTCAACCAACTGTAAAGCAGTTTCGTATAGCTTTACAACACAACATGCATATTCGTCTACAAGCCCCAGTGGACGGAGCAAATTGTGAAGTAGATGCAGACGACATCTTGGAATTGTATGACAACCACGACCATCCAAATAATTCTACTAGCAAAGATTATCAAAGGGAGGTATACACTAGTTGTAATGACAATGATTTAGAAGTTGAATACGATTGCGATTAAGACGACGACGAACAAAGAGCGGTAGAGGTAACTCATTTGGAAAGTACGAGAAAAACCGGCGTAACATTAGAAGATTGTACAAATGTGTATGTAGCTGGTTACCTATATTTTAAGCTATCAAAGAAATTCGATTGTAAAAAATGCAAAAATGCATTTTTAGATGAAAGTGAATGCCTTGACGATAAATCTCAATTATTTTTATTGAACAAAAATTATGGATCCACGCATACTATAAACTATTTAAGCAAACCAAATAAGTACTTTGCAGAAATTGTGACATTTATGCTACACAGCTTCAACACTTTATTTGAAAAGCATAAACTCAAATACGATGTTAAGAAAATTATCAAAAACTCTCTAGTGCTTAAAATAAAACAAAAATATGATACATGGTTTAATAAGCAATGTGAAGATCATCAGCTGTTTATTGTGGACAATTTAATCAAAATTAAATTGTATAGGTCAATTTCATGGGAAACAGGATCGACAAAACGTCGTAGTACGGCGCCGGCGGAGGGTTGTAAACCTCACCGTAAAGTAAAAATTTTACAAAATTAATTTACTTTTGTAATGTTTTAGCGATTGGTTCAATTCGATGAAATTGTACATGAAACATTTTTTGTAAAATTTTATTTGTTGCAAATTTCATTCAAGGCTTTTTGAGTAGTTTTAATTGAATTAATTTGTCTATTTTATATTAAAAACATTTCACATTTAAAAATAAAAGGCAAGTCTATCAGCAAAACATACATCTACAAAAAAATGATACAAATTATTTATTTTACTCATTTAAGCAGATCGGAATAGCCGATAGGCGAAAGCATTAATTTATATCGTTTTTTAAATTTTTTAAAGTCAATGTTTTGATCACGAAGGGGTATATATTATAATTTATATAATATGTAAATTTGGTTGTTTTTGTTTTCTATTTTATTTAACAGTACTTGCGTACAAGATTGTACAACGGCACGCGAGGTAAGCGCGGTG